GACACAGACACAGAGACAGAGTGACAGAGAGAAAGATGTGAAGTGTCTTGTTCATGGAAAAGCCAGGAAACCAGTGGTACTGTCTTATCTTTAAAAAAAACTTTCACCAGACCCTACCAACCCCTCAAGCCATGATTCTATTTCTCTTCCCTTTTCCAAACTCCTTGAAAAAGTTTTCTACATTTTCTTTCCCTCCTTCCTCTCATTTTATCCTTTGCAGTCTGGCTTCTCTCCAGAATTACCAATGATCTTTTCATTGCCCGGTCATTTCTCAGTCCTCATACTTAACCTACCTGCCACATTTGACACTGCTGACTCCCCTCTTCTCCTGGGTAATCTCTCCTCTCTGAGTTTTCTGGACATCCCTCCCTCCTGGTTTTCCTGATACCTGTCTGACCATTCCTTCTCAGTCTCCTTTGCCGATTCATCATCCATATCACGCTCACTAATTTGGGGGATTCCCCAGGGTTCTGTCCTGGGCCCTCTCTTCTCTCTTCAGAATCTCCTCAGCTCCCCTGAGTTTAACGCTCATCTCTATGTGGGTGACTCCTGGATATGCATATTTAGCTGCAGTCTCTCCCCCAGCTTCAGTCTCATATCCTCATTGGTGTATTGGACATTTCAAACCGGTTGTCCTAAGGACATCTTAAACTTAACATGTCTGAACTTGTTACCTTTCCACTCTAAACCCTCCCTTCCTCCAAACTTCCCTGTTTGTGCTCTCTGCCCAGAGGTCAGATGCATGACCTCATGATTGGCTTGCCTTCTCACACTCCATAATCCCACATTGCCACCAATTGCCAAATCCTGACATTTCTACCTTTACAGTACTGCTCCCATCCAACCTTAGTTCAGGCCTTCACCATATTTTGACCTGATTATTGCAACAATCCCCTAATTGGTCTCTCTGCCCCAAGCTTCTTGCCACTCCAGTCCATCGTAAACACTGCAGCTAAAGTGATTTTCCTTAAGCTTAGAACTGACCATGTGACTCCCTACTTAGCCACCTCCAGTAGCTTCCTAGTGCCTCTAAGAAGGACAGAGACAAGCATTTGTTAATCATTTACTATGGGCCAAGCATTGTGCTAAATGCTTTACAAATATTACCTCATTTGAGCTTCACAACAACCCTGGGAGGTAGGCCCTCACCTCCATTTTACAGCTGAGAAAACTGAGACAGGTTAAGTGACTTGTCCAGGGTCACACAGCTTATATGTGTCTGAGGCTAGATTTGAACTCAGGTTTTCCTGACTCCAGGCCCAGTTCTCTATCCACTGTACCACTGGCCTCCATTTAGCTTTTAAAGACATATAAACCTATATATGTTTATAGGTTCTTCCAGTCTCGTTGGACATTATGTCCCCTCCTGTACTCCTGTCTGTTGTATCTTACATACAATACTCCTCATCCTGCCTTTGCACTGACTATCCTCCATGCTTATAATGCCCTCCGTCCCTAAATATCTTGTTTTTCACTACTTTGTGTGTGTAACTATATGTACAGATGTATAGGCATTAACTTTAAATTGACCCTACGTACACATTCATATGTATTTGTCTCCACCCTTAAGGATGTAAACTTACAAGCAAAGATTTCTTAGTGGATAGAGCACTGGCCCTGAAGTCAGGAGGACCTGAGTTCAAATCTGGCCTTAGACAAAACACTTGACACTTACTAGCTGTGTGACTCTGGGCAAGACACTTAACCCCAATTACCAAAAAAAAAAAAAAAAAAATTTCTTACAGGTTTTACTGTCTTCCCAGTGCTTAGCAGTTAGTTCCTGGCACTAGCAGGTGCTTAATAAATACTTATTGATTGACAACCATTCTCTAATGAACAATCTAATGAAAGGTACTAGGCATATCATCATCTGGAAAAATTAAACTAAACTTTAAAAATCTAAATATCTTGACTGTTATTCACTAACTGGTGAAATGGATTCCTGTACTGGATGGAACATGGATCTTACACTTTTTTTAATGGTGGGTACTTAATAAAAGTGTATATTGAATCAAGTATTATGTACATATGTCATCTTATGTATTAGATTGTGAGCTCCTTGGGGGCAGGGGCTATGACTTAATTTATCTCTGTGGTCTCTAGCACAGAACATGACACAGGGTAAGTGCTTCATAAATCTTTATTGGCCTGAACTGAATTTTGTTGAATACATTTCCAGAGCATTTCCACCCCACAGCTGCCTATCAGGGGCAAAATTCTTGGGCCCTGCCAGGGAATGACTATGGGACCTTGGGTCTGAAACAGGTTGTCTCTGCTGCTGATGGTCGAGGTTTTCTATGTCACAGCTGTACCAGGCAGGAGGGGTTCATATCAGAAGCTCTCATAATCCATAGAGAGTTGACTCCACCTGATTCCAGCTTTGGAGTGATAGCCCCAGCTATTAAAAAAAAAAAAAGTGACTTCAAAACAAAATAGAGCATTCATAAAAAGTGAGTAAGTTTTACTGAACAGACATTTTCAGACTTTACCATAAAATGATCAACTGAAGAATCTGGGATTGTAGCCAGAAGAAAAGATAGGGCTTGTTTGATATAACAGTTGTCTTCAAGTATCTGAAGGGTCTTTATATGGAGAGGAATTAGCACTGTCCAGTTCGGTTCCTAGGGCAGATATAGGAGAAAGAAGGAAGATTTCAATTAAGTATAAGGAAGAACTCTTCTAAAAATTATTTTTATTTTATTTCATTAAATATTTACCAGTTACATGTAAAAAATTTTAAAGTTTAAAAAAGTATGCTTCAATCTGCATTTAGAGTTCATCAGTTCTCTCTCTGGAGGTGGAGACCATTTTTCATCACGGGTCTTTTGAAATTGTCCAGGACCATTGTCTTGATCAGAGTAGCTAAGTCTTTTACAGTTATCATCCTTACAGTATTGTTGTTACTGTATGTAATGTTCTCCTAGTTCTGTTCACTTTGCATGAGTCTATGTAAATTTTCCCAGGTTTTTCTGAAACCATAAGGAAGAACTAATAACAACTAGAGTAAATATTTATATATAATGAAATATATTGAATGTTATGAAATATATAGAATATAATATTCAAATACTAAATATAATGAAATATATAATGAAATAAATATAATATATTGAATATAATGAAAAAAAATGAAACGGGCTCTCTGCTGAGGTGCTGAGTTCCTCAGTGTCTCATTCAGGTATGAACTGAGGTCCCTTCCAACTCTTTGATTTCTGTGAGTCAAATCACCAATTCTTGAAGAAACATGTGGCTTCCTCAGAAATTACTTGTGAATAAAGTACTTTGTAAACCTTAGTTTACAATATAAATGTGCATTATCATTATACTAAATATCACAGTTGATATTAGTCCTGAGACCCTCACTGTCATATTGTTGAATCCTGAAATTTCTGTGCTGATTCTGAGACCTGGACTCAGTGGTTCTCTATGTCCTTGCCTCTTGGATTGGCAGTGGCTATAGGGGAGAGGCAAAAATGGCTCACTTCCTTGAGCCGACAACTAGAGAAGCGAAAATCAGCTCCGAAGTGGAACCCATTGCTGTGTGGTCACCGTGCAACAGCCCCCAAAGAGCCTATTCAAAGAGGAGACTGCAAGTCCGTTCAACAAATGTTAAACCGTGCACAAAGCACTGTGTAAGTAAGTAAGTGAAGGTGATTCAACGTCGATTAGACACGAGGCCTCTCTCTCATGGACTTTACACATTACAAATGACATTCAATTCAACAAATATTTATTAAATACCTATTTATGCCAGGCCCTGTAATAGATACTGGAAATACAAAGAAAAAAAAACAATCTCTCTCTTTGGGGAGCTCACATTCTCCTGGAGAGGGGGACAGTACATACTTGGATAAATATATTATTCAAAACAAATAGAAAGTAAATTTAAAAATATCGGTAGAAGTAGGGAGAGAAAAGAACACTAACTACTACGGAGTAGTACCCAAGACTGACCTCCTACAGGAAGTGGCCCTTTAACTCAGCAGGCAGTTAGTGGTATGAAACCGCAGCCTAGGAGAGATATGAGGGCTGGATATATACATTTGGAAGTCATCTGGGAACTTGTGTGATCACCAAGGGAGATTGTAGGGAGAGAAGAGAAGGCCTAAGCTAGAGCCTTGGGGTTGGGAGGACACACCAAAGGACATAGATGATAATCCAGAAAAGCAGACTGAGAAGGAGCAAAAGATCAGGTCACTCTGCAGAGAGGTCAAGAAGAATGAGGACAGCGAAGACCAGCAGGCTGAGGAATGAAGGAACTGTTTGCACCCTTAGGTTAAGTGCAGTGGTGGGTCTGGAAGGTAGATTTCAAGGAGTGGAGAAGTGAGGAAACAGAAGTAACAAGCACAGACAATTTTTGCTTTGCTGTCCCGTCCGTTCTGACCTCGCCCCACTTCTGGGTGTGAAAGGGAGGAGGGGGAAGCAGCAGTGTGGCCACGGACCTGGGTCTGAATCTCAGCTTTTCCTATTACTCCCTGTGTGACCCTCACCAGTTTCTTCATCTCTAAAACGATGGGATAGAAGCTTTCATTTTCTGAATCTGTGATCTCATGAACAGGATCAACTGAGGGGTGGCTGTTTTGTTTTCTGTTTTGTTTTGTACGGATGGCAGGGCCCTGGGCATGCTTGGAAGTAGCAGGAAGACTGCGGCTGAGACTGGGGGCGACGAGGCCAGCCCCTGGAGGAGAAGGCCCAAGCCGAGGAGCTGGCTCAGGCCACCCGGCCGGAGCCGGGAGGGCCCTTGGTCACTCTCTGAAAGGAGGACGTCCAGGCAGAGCTCCGGGGAGAAGCCTCGAGCACAGACAGGCAGCAGAACAGCATGTGCCAGACAGCTCCGGGCCCGTGCACGCGCCCAGGGAAAAGCGCACCTGCTTCGGGAGAGCTCACACCTCTCTCGGCCGTCGGGGGCGGGGCCACAGCACGTCGGGGGCGGGGCCAGCCCTAGGGCTCACTCACTCTTCCCTCGCGGCCCTGAAAGCGCCAGTTCCGCTTCCGCCAGCTCTGTGGAGGCGGCGCGGGAGGTGCGCTCCCCTCTCCTTCACCCTCTTCCCCTTCCCTTGGCCGTGGAGACGCCGCGAGCCCAGTCCCGGCGAGGAGGCCGTGCCAGTGACCACCATGGCGGCGGAGTCGGTCCTGGAAGTGGTGGAGCGGTTGCAGTCGAGACTGGCCGGGAACCCTGAGCCGAAGAAGGCAAGTCTTGGGCCAGGGTCGGGGTCGGGGTCAGGGTCGGCGTTGGGGTCGGGGCAGGGGCAGGGGCCGGGGCCAGGGCCAGGGCCGGGCGAGGGGCGGTGCCGGCGGGGCGGGGCGGAGCCGGGGGCTCGAGGCCCCGCGGGGGGCGTTGGAGGAGGGGGCCGAGGCGGGGGAGCGGCGCGAGCCGCTTAACGGTCACCCAGGAACTGGCCTGGTCCGGCCGCCCGGGCAGGCGCGTGGGCTCGGCCGGGCTGGGCCCCAGGCTCCGGGAGGCTCGGCTCCCACTCGCTGCTCTCCAACAGCTCCCCACCAATAACGCCGACAGTCACTCGAACCCGCGCCCCCTTCCCGAGCGCCGCCCGGGGTCCCCCTCCACCCCCCTCCCCCTCCAGCCTCCGGCGACTCTGGGCTTAGGGATCTGAAAGTTTGTTGTGGGCGAGGGGGCGGGGCGGCTGCCCCCGGTCCAGCTCCTGGCCAGGCCCGGCCCGGCGCTCGGGGCCCCTGGCCTCCGTGCAGGCTTCGCTGGGTTCCTAGAAAGGGCGTCCCGGCCGCCGAGTCGGTGCAGGCCCAGCACGTAGGCAGCCCTGCAGCCGCCCGCCCGGCCCGCGGCGGCTGCTCCCGGTGCTGCCGGGGCTCCGGGCACGGGCCGGGAAGGACAAGTTCGGGCACCAGGAACCTGTTCCCGGTACCCCTTTGCCGACGTTGCTTTCGCCTCTGTCTGCTCTGCTCTGCTCGAATTTGTGCTGAGTCCCATTACTCTCCGTCTTGCTTCAGCGCTTTGCTTTCCCTGCCCTTTGATTTGTGAATAGTTTGTCTGGGATTCCCAAACCAAACTGCTGTAGCTTCCGTGTGTGGCCTTGAGTGACTAGAGACTTTTTTATGGCCTCCTTACTTGATAATAGGGAGCATCGACCTTTTTGTTTGCCCCATCCGTGTCACTTAAAAAAATCCTAATCTGCCGTTGGATTTTTTTTTTTAATTTCACTGTTACAGCTCCTTGGGAAGGGCCATTTTCTCTAAACCTCTCATTTTATAAATGCAGAAACCCAAGGCCCATAGCAGTATAAAACCTTCTGTCTTTTTTAGTGTTTGAATAAAAATACCAGCTTTCAGTTCCTTATGTGAACTTCATCCAAAAAGTCTTATTTTTTATTAATTACATTCTCTTTTAAATAGTAGCCACTTTTAGAGAAAAGCAGTTTTATTCTGTCAGTTTGAACTTCTACGCTGCTCTTCAGCCCCTAGAAAGATTTCCAGGATGGCACCACTTCTCTCCTTCTCTAGTAGTGTACCCTCTGTATACTAAGATGTACATCGAAATTTCTTAGTGTAAACAAATTTCCAACTTAACGAACCAAAAGTAAACTAGTGGTTAGATGTTCTTTGGAATCATAGCATGGTATTCTGGCTGGAAAAAGTTTTGGTTCCTATTGGCTTAGCAGTTTGTCTTTATATTTAGGATCTAGTGAAATTCACATTCCCCTCGGGTGCCTCAGACCTGTGTGAGCCTGCTTTCCCATTTGTCACAAACCAGGTTTTATGCATCTTTGCATGCTTGAAATAGCCTCTATATTCTGTGTACTAAACTAATTAACTCTGTTCATTCAGAATTCATTCCAAAGTAGTTCTTGAGGAAGCCATCTTATTTGGCAGTCGAATGTAGTGGAAAGAGACTGTTGAAGTGTAAGGACCTGAGTTCTAATCCCATCATTTACCTTTTTTTTTTTTTAAACGAACTCTTAGCTTTTAGGTCCTATGAAATATGGCAACCGTGTTCTTTATGTTTTACTATCTAACAGCTGGGTATGCTTAAAAATTGTTTTTAAACATTGCTTTCAGAAATTATACATTTAATAAATACTGATTGAGTCAATTCATATACTTCTAATGGGCAGAAAATTTGTTTTTTATTATCAACAGTTAAAATTCTAATGTGTGCTTATCACAGAAGACCTGAGATTTCTATGTATCTGGTAGGACAGCACTGCATGCATATTTTCAGATTTATTAATACTGATTTTTGTGGGAATGGGTGAATTCTGGTTAGCAAATTAAACATTCTTGACCGAGTTCCCCTCTCCTGACTTAACTGGCTTGGTGGGAGAAGGAATCCTCTTAATGGTGTGTGTGTGGGGTAAGTTCCACCTGTAGCTACTTCATAGACCTATAAACACCTCTGCTTCATTGATAAACTGCCTGGGTGGGCATAGGACCATCAATTGTATCCTGCCAAGTCAGACCTACTTTTTGCCATTGTCCCCTACCTCTTACTCCCATTTTGTTTTTGAGAACTACTCTGTGGTGAGGAAAAGGGAACTCCTTACCTCATTAGCATTCTAAGGATAATAGGATTTAGAGCGAAAAGGAACATCTCAGAGATTTTCCAGATGAAGTCACTGAGGCCCAGAGGGGGGAAATAATTTCCATAAGGTCACACATCAGGTAGTAAGTAGGACAGCCAGAATTCAAACTCAAGTCTAATGTCTGTACATGGCTTTAAAATCTTCAATCCATCATTCTTCAGCAAGCATTTATTAAGCACCTACTCTGTGTCTGGCACATAGGCCCCTGAGTTGGCGGTGGGAGGGTGGCACAGGGAGGGACAACAAAGACCAAAAAAGAAACAGAAAATTGTGAACTCAGCAGATATATTGTAAGAAGGGCTTACTAAACAAGAAGTACATCTGATGTATCTCTGTGTCTCTTTGTATCAGCTAACACTGGACACAGACTTTGATTTTTGTGCAGAAGAGTGAATCTGGATTAACAGATTCCCCACTCTTCTCAGTTTCATAGAGTCAGCTAGGTGGCATGGTGGATAGAGTCAGGAAGATCTGAGTTCAAATTCAGCATCAGATACTAGCAGTGTGAGCCTTGGGAAGTCACTTAACTTCTCTTTGCCTCAGTTTCCTCAACTATAAAATGGGATAATAGCACCTACTTCCCAGGGTTGTTGTTAGGATCAAATAAGATAATTGTAAAGCCCTTAACATAGGGCCTGGCACATGGTAAGCCCTATAAAAATGTTAGTTGTTGTTATTGTTATTATTATGCCATAGCAATTCAGGAGAGTGGCTATTAAGGCACAGAGATAGTTCAGTTTACATTAGTTGGGCACCTACACTGATGAAATCGTAGATCTTTGAAATACTGACATTTTGTTAACTACAAAGGTACTCCCCCAAGTAGTTATAAAAGTTTCAAGGTGGCTAAGTAGTAGTATTTTACTTACTGCTGAAAATAGATTTCAAAACCAAGACACAGATCTATAGTTTATATTCCATATTTATATCCTTAGATTATTTAGTATTAATTGTTGGCAATTTGTAATTCCCACTTTTTTCACTTAAGTGTAATAGTATACTAGACTTGGTATGTGTTCCTCAGGCAAATGTTGATATTGTTTGCCTGGAGATGGTTTTCTAAGAGACTGATTTGGCAGGTCATTAGTACTTGGACATATGTCAATGAGAAGACTCATTGATGGTCATTTAAATGGATTTATTTTAGGAAATGGAAACTGATTTTAGAAAATTATGAGAAAATTTGTGTCCCATGGTTAACTATCTCCTGAATGTTTTTCTGTTAGAATGTTGCTTACCCCTAATCTCCCCAATTTTAGCATTTGTAAGCAGAGACTTGCCTTTGAAAAGATCCTGATCATACTCATACTTAGCAAAATGTTTGTGCTGGCTTAACCTTAGGAGGGTAGTAATTACCCATGTCTAGAATTTTGCTGTGTTGTAAATGCTTATATACTCTTTGGTTGGCATTTCAATTTTGTCTGCTTTTATTTATACTTCATATTATGATATGAGAGACATGTCTTTACAATTTCTCACTTTATTTAGATTATTGTTTGTTTGTTTTCCAGGCCCTTGTCATAGTTTCTCAGGCTATATACTAAGGCTGATAGTACAGTGAACTGTTACCCAGTATGCTCAGGAAACAGGATGATCTGATTAATCTATTTTGGTTAGAAAGTTAACATAATACCTACCATAGGTGTCAATTTTCAAAGAATTATAACACATGTGCTGAACTATACTGAATATGATTAAAAAAAAACAGGTATCTGATAGTATCTCAGGGTCACCATTGTGAACATCTGTTATTATTGTACCATAACCGTGTGGCTATGCCAGTTGAAACATTCCCAGCTGACAAGATTCTGGATTGACCAGTTTTTAGTCTACTCATTTTTGGTATGTTTTTGTAGGGGAGCATATTTGTTCACTTACAGGATCTTCTGTGACCCACCCTCTTGATGACAGAAAAAAAAAAGCATACCTAGTAAGACTTTTTTTTTATAATTCTATTTTCGTACACATACCTAACTGAAAAGGAAGAGACTATGAAAAAGAGGCCCTTTTTCTTCATTGTTGGACAAAGTGGACTTGAAACTGACAAAACTCAAATTTCAACTGACCCATAAGGTTTTGTCAGAAGTACACCTCTCCCTAATTATTCGGTAGTGGGTTTTAAAAGAAGACAGTGAATATACCCCTAGCACTAGCCATCAGTCTTGTTGGCATTGCTGGGGCCCAGGAAATTTTGTTCATTAGCCATAGAGACTCTGAACTATCAAATGGTGTGATGATGTGGAATTGTTCAGTGGCATCTGTAATATGTTTTTTTATATTATTTAATTTTAAAAAATAATTTATTTATTTTTAGTTTTCAACATTTACTTCTACAAGATTTTGAGTTCCAAATTTTCTCCCCATCTGTCCCTTCCCCCCACCCCAAGATGGCATGCATTCTGAATACCCCTTTCCCTAATCTGCCCTCCCTTCTATCTCCACCCCCCTCCCCTTCCTCTTATATTTTCCTGTAGGGCAGGATAGATTTCTATTCCCCTTGCCTGTATATCTTATTTCCCAGCTGCATGTGAAAACAATTTTTAACATTTGTTTTTAAAACATTAGATTCCAAATTTTCCCCCTTCCTCCCTCCCCACCCGCCCTCATTGAGAAGGCAAGCAACTCCATACAGGTTATAGATGTATAGTCATGCAAAACACTTCCATAGTAGTCATGTACCTCTACAGTATGTTAAGAGGCCAGAGAATCTTTGCTCCATTTCCTTCCATTTGTTACTTAATATTATGGTTTATTTGCATGGTTAATATCTTTATGTTGGGGGTGGTAATTTGTCATATCTCTGTTTCCTGGAGATTTTTTAGTATATACCTGGCATTTGGGTAGATGAGATCATTCAGATCTTTTTAGTCAGTGCTGCTTTAATGGTCTTGGGAGTCACAAGTCCATAGAACCACATAGCAGCTTTAGAACTATTTACAGGTGATTTGAGGATAGGAGAGGGAAATGATTTACTCAGGGTTACCCAAGTGGTACCAGAGTCAGGATTTGAGCCCAGGATTTCTCATTCTTACTTCTGTGTTCTTTCCACTATACCATATTGTTTCCTACCTTTCAAAACATAAGATATGTCTGTGTATCTTAAGCACCAATTTTTCACTCATATTTGAATGTAAAACCATTCCCTGAGAAGACAGCACTAGTGTTCTTACTGGTTAGAACAGTCGCTTTCTTTGTTCTCTATATGAAGACATATTTTAGGTCAACACTGCCATATTTCAAAGGAAAGTGCAACGACCATAGAATTTGGGGCTCTAAGTGACTTTTCAGATCTAGTCCAGCCTGTCCTCATTTTACAGAGAAGGAAAGGGACATGTTCAAGGCTTTATTAGCTAAGGTAGTATGCCCAAAAAGCATCCCAAGTACTGAAATGAGAAGCTTTATGTCAGACTTAATGCTTAATGGTAACTAGAAAGAGACATGTTTGAAAATCAGCACATCTCGTTTTCTGTATTTAAATGTTAAAATTTTGTTCACAAATCTTTCTCAGTTACCTTTTGTACAGACTTGGAACTACAGTAGGTAAGAAAGGCAGTGGCCTAGGATATAGAGCTGAAGGGGGGCCCAGCCCTCTGTAAACACCATTCTTAATATGGTGGTGCAGCAGGTTTGGAGACAGAAGACCTGGATTTGAGTCTGGTTCTGCTGCTTATTAGCCATGAGACCTTAGGCAAGGCAGTCTGGCTTCTCTGGGCTTCAGTTTTCTCATCTATAAAATTAGGCTGTGAGGTGAGCTGAATTCTAAGGCTCCAAATACTCCAAATAGGACTGTGTATTAGAGACTTCACTCTCTGTCATTATAGTATTGATTTTGTGATGTTGTATTAGTGAAGGGTAGAAGTCTGGGATGGGAGTGTGAGGGGTAATTTTTCAACCTTGCTTAAGGCAGACAGATGCATTATCCCATAGGATGAAAGATTTCATGTGGGAAGGGACCTTAGAAATCATTTAATTCAACCCCTTCATTTTATAAAGGAGGAAGACCCAGGCCCAGAGAGGGGAAAGTGATCTGTTCAGTTAACTTAGGTAGCAAGTAGCAGCATTATAATTCTAACCCAAATCCTCTTGACTTCTCTACCACAGTGCTCTGCCTTCACTGTATAACACACAGTCCTCATGTTGTGAGTGCCTGTATAGAAGACTTTCTAAAGGAAACAGTGACCAGCATGCAGGAGGGGAAAAACTAAATAAGAGCTGGAGGAATGTGAACAGGCTGAGAATTAAGGGAGCGTTAGTCATAAAGTTGGATTTAAGTGATCAACAAAGTATCTCAATTAATTGAGTCCCAGTTATGGTGAATGTTGAGGTGAATAATAATAACTTAACTGTGTATAAGGTAATAGTTTACAAAGCACTGTCTTCCCAGGGCCCCATGAGGGAAGAAGGGTGAGAAGAAAAATAAAGAGGACTGAATTTGGTTCTCCCTACTACTCAGTCATCTTATATATCCATTATTAACAGAAAAATTCTAATAATGGCTAATGAAATTTCAGCAGGAAACTACTCTTTGCCTGTGCCTACCTCCCTTATTTTGAAAAAAATAGCCTGTAGAGAATGACTGCTTCCTGGAGGTACAGTGCCATTTTTCTCAGAGTTCTTCCTCTTCCTTTTTTCCCCTGCTGCCAGGCCTATGTGGCATTTTTCTGTAATTGATGTTGTCTTGATCTTTTAACAAGTCTGGGGCAAAATACTAAATGTCAGTAGAGATGATGGTTCTTTCCAATGTATTCTGTAGCATTGTTATTTCAGGAAAGGAGGTTTTCATGTGTCCCAGTGAATCAGATTAAAATCGTAACTGTAATTTTTCTTGTCTCTGTAGCTACTAAAACATCTGAAGAGACTCTCAGATTTACCTATCACAGTGGACATTCTTGCGGTAAGACAGCCTTAACAACCTTAAATCTTCACATAAAAATAATAGAAGAACCTACCTGATGAGAGAGTATTGATAGATACCGACAGTAAACTTGAAAGCTGGGACTAAGTCATACTCCACTTCTGTATTTCCTGGCACCTACTGCATTGTCTTGCATGCAACGGGCACTTGAAAAAAGCTTGTTGAATTGAAAATAAAATAAAAGCTTTAATAGCTTTAATATGATAAAGTACTTTACATATATTTTCATTTGATCCTCATAGCAAGTAGAGCAGTGATGGTATTAGTGTGTCCATTTTATAGAAGAGGAAAGAAATTCAAAGAAATGAGAGAACTTTCCCAAAACTTTATACCTTCATTTGACACTCATTCAGCAAACATTTATTAGTGCCTGTTGAATACTTTAGAACTTTTCAGGGTTCTAGGAGAGACAATAGTCCTTGATATGATCCATAGAGAACACATAGTCTTACATGATAGAGACACTAGAGACTGTTGGGGGATGGGGGAGAGTGTAAATGTGATAGTAAATGACAAACCTTGGACTTGGAACACTAGTCTTTCTAATACATAAGATCAGTTAGACTTTTCCTTTCAAGTTCACTGTGGTCCTTTTGAAAAGCCTTTCTAGCACTGCGTTAAATGTTATCCTTCACCATAGAATAGAGTTTTGCTACTCTCTGTGATCAGAGATTTTAGGTTAAGAAATTAAATATTAAAGGAATTTGTAGAATGAGTTTTTGATAGGTAGAAGTGTTTGGTCAACAGATGGTGTGGTTTTTACCTCAGAGAGTTTGAGGCCTTTGAATCTGGTGTAAATTGGGTTGAATCCTCTTTGCTGGTTTCTCCATATATTTTACAGGAAACAGGTGTCGGGAAAACAGTGAATGGCTTGCGGAAACATGAGCAAGTAGGAGGCTTTGCCAAGGACTTAGTGGCCCGCTGGAAGAAGTTAGTCCCTGTTACTCAGGAGGTTGAAAGGTAAGATGTTCTTTACCCATACTGCTTCATGGCTGATTCTGGTGCCCAAGAGTCACTGTGGAAAGGCTCATCGGGTCATAGATTTACAGCTGACAGGAACCTTAGAGGCCACCTGATATATACTTGTTGGATAGAATTGGCCCTAGTGCAACCCCCTTATTTTTACAGAAGAGAACACTGAGGCCAAGAGGCCCCAGTGACTTGCCTAAGTCTCAGGTGTAATAGGTACTCAAGGCAGAACTCGCCCTATGTCCTCTGATTCCAAATCCAGCACTCTCTTTTCCATCTTCTTTTTTCCCTTCTTCTTTGCTTCCTTGTTCCTAGTCCTGATGTGAACCCCACAGTGGTTCAGGCAGTCAGATCTGAGAAGAATGGCAACTGTCCTGATCCTGGGCCTTGGAAGCCCTTTTCTGTCTCCTTTCCCAAGCATGGATTCATAGAGAGGCAGTGGTATTAGGAATAGAAAGCCTGTTAGTAATTGGCCTTGTTTGAGATTTTGGGGTGGGTGTGATTTAGGGTAGGCAGATAAATTAGAGCTGAGATTTCGACGGTTAACTTGACTAGAGAATAACATGTGCATGGAGGCTTGGGTGCTCATGAAGATTCCCATTGGAAGGAAGCCGTTTGAGTTCTCTCTGTTGTGTTTCAGCCTTACCCATCACACCCGCACCTGTCTTCTGTCAGTCCTCACTGAGTGTCATCATCTCTTGTGTCTCCTATTTTCCTCAAGTGCTCCGTTCCCCGCCCTTATTACTAGCGATAGGATTTTTTTTCCAGATAGATATGCTTATGTCACTTAGAGCCTTTATGGACTTTGGGTCGCTGTCAGCTCCTTGTCCCTGTTCTCTACACAGGAGATACTTGATGAATGTTAATGAAATGATTTTTTTACCTTTTATGTTTTGTTTAGGAATATTGAGCCTGAGGAGCAAGACCTCGAGAGAAGTATCTCTAGAAAACGTCCCCGAGATGTTTTTCCCAAGGAGGAGGAAATGGAGGTGGACTGTCGGGAAAGCTGGAAGGCTTCTTGTAGCCAGCCACGCAGTCCTGACTGGCGGGAGAAAAAGCACCGACAGCTCTCCGAGTTGGAGAGAATGCCCAAGGCCTCACACAGTGCTGAGCCAAGAGATGAGAGAAAGCGGTGGAACAAAACCTCCCCATTCTGTGCCTCGGATCATGAGTTATCAGACAGTAGTCATGTCCACTCACCTCAGCCTTGCACAAGCCCTCAGCAGTTTTCCATGGACTATGATGAACCCCCGGAAGAGGAGGGAGAGCGGCAGGTGTCACATCGGAAGGCCGGCAAAGGCCACAGTCACGTCTCTCAGGACCGAGGGTCAAATAGCCAAGAGAGACGCTTGGGTGAACCCCAGGACGGAGTCTCTGTGGGTCGGAGCAAAGAGCACAAGACTTCCCAGAAGGAGAAGCATCGATTGGATACAAAGGAGAAGATCTTCAGTGTGGGTCGAGAAAAAGTGTCTAAGGCTGCTTCTCGAGAAGAGGGCCGAAGGTCTCCCTCCGGAGCTGGCCCCAAGGAGAAGCAGACGTCTTCTGGTGCTGCCAAGAGAGAGAGGGACAAGGAAAGCAGCAGCAGCAGGAAGAAGCTTTTGCCTCCTTTGGAGGTAGCTTCTGTCAACCACATGAAAAAAACAAAGCACAAAGAAGCACAGAAATCCACGTTGGAAAAGGCCAAACTGAGTGTGGATAGCTTTGATGGAGGAAGATGGGATGGAGAACTTTCTCCCAAGCCAAAAGAGAAAGGGGGCTCAAACAGCTTAAAGACCCGGGAAGGGAAATCCAAAGCCTCTAACTCGGACAGAAAACCAGTGAGCCACTTTGCAGGGGCTGGGGAGACAGATGTGGATGATGACTATGAACAGCCCACCATGTCTTTTGAATCATACCTCAGCTATGACCAGCCCCAGCGGAAAAAGAAGAAGGTTGTTAAAACCACAACTGGGATGCGTGGAGAGAAAAGTCACAGTAAGCAGAACGGTTCCAAAGCTGATCATAAACACTCTAATAACACTGTTCAGAAACTCCCTAAGATGAATGAGAGCAAGGCAGAAAAGCAGCATTCTGGAGCCAGCTCTGCCAAACTGAAAAAGGTAAGAAGGGGTCGTGTCTCCCCAGCCTGATGTCTGCTGGTTGCCAGAGCTTCCTACTCCAAGGCTTTAGAGACTCATGGGTGTGGTTCGGAGATGTTAGTCTTCCTCCTTATCAGTGTTGCTTGTGCTGGGGCCCAGGTGGATTTTATGGAGGAGTCACTTGTTTCACTTAGTGTAGGGTAATGATTGTCCTGCTGCAGTGCTCTGGAAGAGGGAATGAATTGAAGGCATTGGGCATGTGCTTACTCAGCCATTTATTTACTTAGGAAAGAAGGAACCTCAGCCAATGAATGTTCAGATTGGGCCTTAGAAAAGAAAACTGGTTGTGACGGAAAGTGAGGTAGGGGGTGGAGGAGAACATATCTTTGACTGAAATGACTGACACTCTCATTCTGCAGGTCTCCACTGATGCGACCCCAACATTACCGGACATCCCCTTGCCTACCATTCAGGCCAATTATCGTCCACTTCCTTCTCTTGAACTGATTCCCTCCTTTCAGCCAAAGAGGAAAGGTAGGTTCCCTCTGTGGGGATGGGGAGGGTTGCTTCAGTATGGAGAAAGACAGGGATGAGAGTTGGGACCATCTCTGACTTGCTGTTTTCTGAAAGAAGCTTTAGCAGAAGCCTTAGATGAACTTCTGCAAAGCTGAAGGTACTTCTTGGCTGCTTCATTTTCTCTTCCAGTGGCTCCCAGAATCACTTCAGAATCTGAGATTTGGAAGGGACCTTAGCATTAATTTAGTCCCGGCTTGACATGAAAAGAACTCCCCCCACAGCAGACCCAACAAGTGGTCTCCAGTCTTTGCTCAGAGACCTCCAGGGAGGGAGAACCCGCCTGAAGCAGCCCAGTCCCATTTTGGAGAGTTCTAATTGTGAGGGATGTTCTTCCTGACATCCAGCCTCTTCAAGATTCTCTGTAGTGAAGCCAGTTGTGTCTAATGGAGCCCAAAAGAACAAACCTCCCCAGTCCCTCCTCCATGTGACAGCCCTCCAAAGACTTGAAGACATACTACTGTCCTGTTCCCTTTGACTTTTCTCTTCTCCAGCATAAATGAAGAGCATTATAGCTTTTCTGACAGTAACTAGTGCTTTGATTTTTAGTGTCTTTGCCTGCCAGCTCTCCCATCTCCTTTCAAAAGGTCTTTCAGTGTGCTGGGGGCAGGGAGGTTTCCATATTAGAGTAAAAATCAGTATTTTAACTTGACAGTTTTGTTGGACAGGTATGATTTGGCAAAGCAACTGTACTTGTTTTGGATGTTTGGGGGTGTGGGGTGGGGAGAACGTGGTGATTTGAGTTATGGTAGTAGGTCTTTTCTAGCATCCAGGATTAATTTATTACTGAGGTATAAACAAATATCAGATTAAGTAGTCTTCCTTGATCTGAGATCCTGCTGCTCCCTAGAAGAGCAGGAGGCCATTGGATGCAAACCCCGGGCTGCTAGGGGCTACTTTTTATGATGGTTACTACACTTGTCATTAATGGTTGGCTAGGGCTGGTCTGAACAAAGATGGTTGCACTTTTCCAGTGATGCAACTCAGTGGAGGGTTGATCTGTATTTTTGTGAGTGACATATTTTCAAAGGGAGCTTTTTGAGAGAAATTTAGTTTTATATTCTCTTCTTTTCTATAGCAGTCTCCTCACCCCATGAAGACGAGGAAGCTGGATTTACTGGACGCAGGATGAATTCAAAGATGCAAGTCTATTCCGGTTCCAAGTGTGCCTACCTACCGAAGATGATGTCCTTGCACCAGCAGTGCATCAGAGTCCTCAATAATAACATAGACTGTGAGTAAACTTGATTCAGCCTTGGGTGTTGTCTGTGATGGAGCCCATCTCTAAGCAGGAGGCTTTGTGTTTATGGCTGGGCCTTTTTTCACTCTGTTCCTTACATTTGGGATGTTCTTCTCTTCTCTTCTGTCCCCTCCCCTGCTCCTGCCCCACCCAAAGTGAGTTCAGTTTCTCCTCGTCCTCCCACGTCCCAGTCCAGTGCTAGGGGAAGCTTTCCCTGATCCTCTTCTCTCCCTTCTCAACCTCTGTCCCCAAATTGGAAGGGATTTCTTATTCATTTGGTTTCCTTATCACTTTATATTCTTATTGTATTATAGTTAGGTGTATATGTCTTATCTCCTTGTTGAAGGCAAGGGCTCTCTTATTTATGGTTGCATTTCTCCCGGCCTCAGGTATGGAACTTTGCATATAATATGTGTTCACCTCATTCCTGGGTTTTTTTTCCCTCTTTTGTAGCCATCTATGAAGTTGGGGGTGTTCCCTATTCTGTGCTTGAACCAGTTTTGGAAAGATGTACTCCTGAGCAACTCTATAGAATCGAGGAGTGCAACCACGTGAGTGTCTTCTTTAGGCAGCGGGGTGGACCAGGGAGGCACATCTTCCGTGCTTTTTCCTTCCCTGAGTAATGGCTTTGTCTCCCAGTATCTGCTGTTTCTTTAGGCCATGTAGGGTTCAGCAGGCACTTGCTATTTTCTCTGATCCCTGGCTTGGCTCAGGGGCTTCAAGCGAGCATGTGTTCAACACCTGCTCCTGTCATTTTCAGTAAGCCTCTGGGGCCAGAATCTAGGTGGGATTCAGAGGGAGGAAAAACATGCTAACTACTAGCTCTCCTGGCACCCTTGGGCTTGCCTAGTTACAAAGGTCAAGGGAGCATTCTGCCACTTGGCAGAACCCCTGGGAGGAAGGGAAGCAGCAGGGGAGCTTGACATCCAGGTACATTGTGGTTATTGGAAAGAATGATATAGGTCAGATCCAGACCTGGCCAAATTATTTTGCCATCAAGCAGATTTTACTTATGATCATTTTAGAACATAGTCTTTTTTTTTTTTCTTTTTTTTTTTTGCATTAACTGTTTCGCTTTAAAGAGGATGAGTGAAGTGCCTTTTAAAACATTTTCCTCCATAGCACTGAAAGTCAGAATAGAATACAGCTGACATTGAGGCTTTGCTGACGTGGTTCTCGTATCTGTCTTTGCCTCTTTGCAGTTATCTTGATTCATTAGCAGAAGCAGAGCTTCTGTGTCTTCTGGAGCCCCGAGCCTCATAGTGATTATTTGTAAGGTCCCAAGGGTAGAGGCTGGGTTGTGTTCTTTGTGCTGAGAGCAGTGGAGAAAACAGACTAAAGATGGGGTGGGGTTGAAAGAACACCCAGACTGGGAGTCTGGCTTGACTGCACACTATTCTTGTGTCTTTGGGCAAGTCATTGAACTTTGGGCGTCTGGTTTCTTTTCTGCAAATTGAGAACTTAATTTGCATTTAGCGTATGTACAGAGCACTGTTAGGTCCTGGGAGAAATGGAAAAATTAGACAAGGCAGTCCTGTCTTCATGGAATTTAAGTAAAGGGAGGAGGGAAGGAAATAAACATTTATTAAGTACCTACTATGCCAGGTACTGTGCTAAACACTTTATCCTCACAACAGTCTTGGGAGGTAGGTGCTATTATTATCATCCCTATTTTCCAGTTGAAGAAACTAAAGCAAGCAAGTTAAGTGACTTGTCCCGATTTTGGGGGGGGGCACCACCACCAATGATAATTGTGATATACAGCTTACATGATAAGCATGTTGGATGTAACTAGTACCATTTGAATTCTGAGAGGGATTCTAGTCCTTACCAACTGGGGATCAAAGGAGAGAATCCTTGCATTGCTTTACCTAGATAGTTGTGAGAATCAAAATTATAGCATATAATAACACTTCAACTTCAAGCATTTATTAAGCACCTGCTATATGCAGAGGGGCTATAGCTGCAAAGATAAAAGCAAGATTCATCTTTGGCCTCCAGGAGTCTCGATTTCTGGGGAGAGGAAAAGGTGGGAGTGGAGGGGGACAGTATATGTACAGCTAAGGAGATAGAAAATGTATACAAGCCAATCTGTGGGCTGAGTAGTAAAGTACTGGGGCAGCTAGGTGGTGCAGCGGATAGAGCACTGGCCCGCGAGTCAGGAGGACCTGAGTTCAAATCCGGCCTCAGACCCTTGAACGCTTCCTAGCTGTGTGACCCTGGGCAAGTCGCTGAACCCCACTGCCTAGCCAAAAAAAAAAAAGAAGAAGGATGAGGATTGAGTAGTAAAGTACTGAGAACTAGGAGAGGAGGGGAGGAGGCAGGCGATGGAGGGTCATGTAAGGGGCTGATATGGCTGGAGCACCGAGTGCATGTGGCTGAGTGACAGGTTGGAGCCAGATTGTGAAGGGTTTTGAATGCTAAACAGGAGGTGATAGGGACCAAAACTTTGTGGACTAGAGTGCCTTACAGAGTATGTGAGGTGCCGGGACAGATACTTGTGTGTCTCTTTTGTGCCACAGCTGTAATATGAGCAGAGTTCTTAGCTGGGGGAAAAATTTTAAACTTACATACTGCCACACTTGTCAGAGAAGTGTTTGAAATAATCTGTCTTGAGAAAAAAAGGTTTCTAAAAGTCATTTTACTTTGGCTTCAGGTATTAACTGAAGAGACCGATCAGCTGTGGAAAATTCACTGCCATCGAGACTTTAAGAGAGAGAGACCCGAGGAGTTTGAGTCCTGGAGGGAGATGTATCTTCGGCTCCAGGATGCTCGGGAGCAGCGACTGCTCCTCTTGACGGAGAACATTCGGTCAGCGCACGCCAACAAACCCAAAGGTAAAGAGGGGAGGGGATGGGGCTGGAGGTTTGGTCAGGAGCTTTGAGGGGCTGCCTAGTCATCTGGCCTTGGGTCGGGGTCAGGCCTGTCCACAGATTCTGGTGCCTCCCACGTGGTGGGTGCTGGCAGCAAAGGGAGCTTTTCAGAGTTGGTAATTCATTCATAAGCTAGTGTCTTCCAGTGTCTTAGGACCTCAGTCTAAGGGTGAAAGTTGAAGAGAAGTCAGATTTCAGCTCAATATAAGGAAAAACTCCCCAACAGTGAGAGCCATCCAAATGTTAGGTGTGCCGTCTTGGGGGAGGTAGCAAGACCCCCTTTACTTGGACTCTCCAAGTGAAAGAAGTAGCAGAAGTGGGATGGCCACGTGCAAGGGAAGCTTCCCCTAGTCCAGGAGTGACTCGTCTGCTTCCCTGTAGGTCGACAAGCAAAGATGGCCTTTGTCAACTCTGTGGCCAAGCCACCTCGTGATGTCAGAAGACGACAGGAGAAATTTGGTACAGGAGGAGCAGCTGTTCCGGAAAAGATCAAGTAAGATCCTTTTCAGTTGTGATTCCCACCCTGCTCTAGTGAGTAGCCACTCAGTGTAGGGAATTGCACTACACGTGCAGCCTGGGCACCAGAAGGGAGGGAGCAGGTCACCTTTCCTCCCTGGGTATCTCCTTGTCTCCAGAATGGGGATAGTGTTTCTCTGCTGACTTCCCCAGGAAAATTGAGGAAAAGCAGCTTCAGAAAGTCAAAGTGCTGTCTGGGTGTCTGAGTGACACCCAGAGGATCTTCACCAGATCCCAGTGAGCTAGAAAGAGATGATCTGTGTGCTTATGGCCAAGGTTCTAAACATGGAAAATGGAGCAGACAGGAGAGGGCCATCTTTGAGCACTCCTGGCAGTCCTTGGCTCTGTGCTCTCATTCAGCTGCTGGGCCTTCTCTTGTAGGATCAAACCTGCCCCGTACACCTCCAGCAGCAGCTACACCTACAGCAGCAGTAGCAGCAGCAGCGGCGGCGGCAGTTACAGCAATGCCGAGGAAGGACAGCCGTATGATGGCCCAAGCACCAGCAGCGCCCACTCTGCCTCAGCGGTCAGCAGCACAGTGTCTTATGATCCTAGGAAACCACCTGTAAAAAGTGAGTTACAGCAGGGGCATAAGGGAAATGTTGACCCCCTTATCTTTTCTGCCGAATGTCATGTGATGGACACTTGGAGGGGTGGAGCTGGTGGTCCTCAGCACTCAGTGGATGTGTCATTTAAAGCTGAGCCTCATTTTCTTCATCACTTGGAGAAGACGACCCCTCAGGTCCCTCCCAGCTTTAAATCTTAAAAAGATCAGGCTAATTGGGAACCACATTCTTTCAATATTCTTCACTTCAGCCGCTAGAGGGCAGCTCAATCCTACCCACTTCGTGCCTTGACCTGTGATAGAATCTATCTGCTAACTCGACGAATTATCCAATTATTCTCCTATATAATCATAGATTTAGAGCTGAAAAGGACTTTAGAGGCCGTGTCATCTTATCCTGTCATTTGACAGGTGAAGAAAACAGGCCTGCACTCAGCTACACAGGTAGTTAGTGGTAGAGCTGGCTCTAAGTGGGTGGTCATATCCTGGCACCACATGGTGACCAGCAGATTTGGGTCTTTGGGTTTTGATTCCTACAGGTCCTCACTGAATTTTCTCTATTCGTGTCTTTCATAGGCTTTTATGATCATAGAATGTTGTAATTAGAAGGGACCATAAAGGTCCCTGGATGAAGACAGTGCTTTGGCATTTAAAGCAATAGTGGTTTAATTTCTCTTTTTAAATGTTAGATCTTCCTGAGATATTAGGGGTTTTTATAAAAGGGTCACATCAGTGTTGCTGGATTTGGGTAAAGCGAGAAGAAGATGGTTAAAGCCCGGGAGCTGGGCTCACAGTTCCAGGGTTCATTAGCCAAGTCACAAAACAGGCAACGGTGGGAGAGGAAAGTCAAGTCAAAGTCAAGATCTCAGAACTTCATAGAGAAGAGTTGATCATGAAAGACCCAGGGTGATTTGATCCTGAGGTTTTTTCCCCTTTTGTTTATTAAGAAAAACAGCATAATCTACTTGAAGAAGCTTTGAGATGAGGTCTGGATGCCAGGCTTGGGTCTCTGGTGCTACTTAGTTCTTGCTTGGTGATGATCTTGAGCAAGGTAGCTCAGTTCTCAGGGGCTTCCTCATGTATTTCAGGCAGGGAGGGGCTGAGGGATGGACGGAGTGGTGTGGATTATGAAGGTCCATTTTCAGCACTGAGGTTCTAAGCCCTAAGGACCCTTCAAGGTCTGTAGTTGTTGTATAGGTGGTTTGTTTAACAGTGAGATTCTGGGAATAGTACCTGAGGGGGCCCCCCCACCCCCAGCCATGGTCATAAACGTGCTTGGCAAATTGGGGAGTGAGAGATGGACGTCTTTAGTGGTCAGGCCTGACTTTCTTTGTCCTCTGTTGTAGAAATTGCCCCGATGATGGCCAAGACAATCAAGGCATTCAAGAACAGATTCTCCCGGAGATAAAACCTTCCCCTGAAGATGGGAAAGGAGGAGGGTGAGGAGGGAGGGGAGGAGGGAGAGTGAAGCTCACAGAGGAGTCTAGGATATTTTGCTCCATGGAGCCAGTCTCTACTACATGCATCTCCAAAACCTGCCCAAGGATTGACGGAACTGTTTCTCCAGGTTTAGTGCCTGTAAACTACCTGCACACAGCCCCTGCCTCCCTGCCCAGAGAGCACTTGAGACTTTATAAGGAAAGATGTGAAGCCTTGGATCTCCCGAGGATTTTAAGGTCAATTCAACCTTGTTAGCAAACCTCTTTGTAAACTGCGAAAAATAGTTTTAATTAATAAATATTTCCCCAGATTGTATTTATAATACACCCAGTATTTTCCTCCTTTCTCTCTTTCTCTTTCTCTCTCTGTCTCTGTTTCTGACACACACACCCACCCACACCCCCTTTATGTTGTTTTAGGTTGCTTTCTTTCCTAGCATTAGGATACGATGCAAGTCCACTCAAGGCCAGAAGATCCCCTGAACTCAGCCCAGCCACCACCTCTTCTTGGTGGGGGGGGGAAGCTGTTCCAAAGGGAAGACTGGCTTCCCCACCACCCCTTAAGGAGCCTCCATGGTGCCTGTTGTGTGTATTGGCACAGCCTTGGGAGTCCTGGGATGTTCCCTTACAGGGCAGTTTGTCTTTCCCTGGATAGCACTAGGATCTTGAAAACTGTTAATGTGTTCTTGTTTGTTAACCCCAGGTGGGAGATTTTCCTGGTGTTACTTTTCACTTCCTGTACAGATGCTTATCTTGCGTTCTCACTTACTGTTGTCATCCAATGATATTTATTAAGGCGCTTATTTGGAAAAGTGAACGAGTCTTTCCTTAGCCCTCTTGATCTGTCCTGTTGTGCTTTATTTGAGTATTAGTGCAAGAGACACATCCTGGGGGAGAAACCTCGATTTGCACAGCCTGCCCCTTTCCACTCTTCCATCCCCCCCCCCCACAAGCAATTTCAGAATTTTCCATTTCTGCCTCAAACAGTTTTAAAAGATTTTTTTCTTTTCATTCTTTCTCCCTGCTCAAGGGTGGAAACAGGCAGCTACATGTTTCCAGATTTCATATAGTCCAGGAAAAGATTTCTTGCTTTTTAAAGTTAGGCACTTTAATCTTTTTGCTCCCTGTGAATTACTGCTGGAAGCGAATGGTTTTAAAAGAGAGTAGTGTGTTCGGAGGGTTTAAAAAGAACATGGTAAGATCATGTGTTAGAAGAGCACAGCAGCTTTTAGGACTTTCTAGAAATTCGTATAGCTCATGGTCACACATACAGCATGAGCCTCTTGCTTTTGGAGGGAACAATTTGATGAGCGAGGGACCTCTGCTACCCATTTGTGAGGAAACTAAAAGGAATGTGGCACCAGGTGCCATGAGTGGCTTCTGTATTTCTGAACAGACGTTCTGGCCATAGACGCTTAATGGTGAAGGAGGAGTGGAGAAATCAGGGACTCTGAGGCAGAGCAGGGCAGGGAGGCTGCGCCCCAGTGCCACCTAGGAGTTATACATGCAAACAGGAACTCTTCAGCTACAAGCAGCACCCAGATCAGACGGAGGAACCAGACACAGACACACTTCGTGTAGAACCTTACTCTGCCTCCTCCCCACCCCCACCCCCACTTATGCTGAGGGGGGAACCTGGCCAAGCCAACGGGATTAGTCAATTCAAGCATCTCCAGCTAGCCACATGCCACACCCTGGGAAGGCTGCAGGGCTGGGACCCTTTCCAAAGCACTTGAAAACACCCTGGAAAGCCACCGTTATTTCTGGTTTGGAGGTTCCAGAGACGTGAGCCTTGGGTCAAGGTGTGGGGCTCTGTGTCACGTGCCTCTCAACCATACTGGTAGTGACTGTGTCAGATACTCTTGGGTCCCTCCTTCTGGGTTTCGATGACGCTGTTTTTGCTTCACACTTCCCTTCCCCATCTCGTTTATCAGGCACAGCCTTTGGAAGATGGGGATTAGCCTGGAGACTACAGAGGCTCAATAGGTCACCCTTAGTGGCCGCCATCCTTAGTCTGTTTTACACTGTGTGTTTGGGGATTTTACCACTGATGCCAGAGATCCAGTTGGGTCTGTTCCCTTATCAGTGGCTTTGAGACAGGGAAGGAATTAAAGGAATTCATTTGTATGTTGGATCCCTCCAATATCTATCTACTCCCATTTGTCCCATTCTAACAGGCTTCCAGTTAGCCCTGTTCGCCACTGGGCCATCCTGCCTCTCCTGAGTGTTTCAGACTCAGGAATAGATAGATGCCTGGGTGGAAGGGGAGGGAGACGAGGTATAAACAGCCTCCTCTGCTAATGGTGAAAAACAATGTCAGTTGTCTTGGCCTTTCTGATCCTTTACTTGTGCAATTTCAAATGTTCTGTGCTACACTACGTGCAGACCACCAAACTAATCCTTTGTGATTTTTGGTGAGCGTGATGAGTGGTTTCTTGGGGGCTTTGGTTTTTGTTTTGGGGTGGGAGGGAAGGGAGTCAGGTGTTGGCCTGCTCTGCATTTGTATTTTGGTCCCCAGATGTAAATAGAATTTTCTATGTTACTTTTTTGTGGTAACTACCAAGATGAATATTTTAATTAGATAAGTTATATGAAAAGGAACAAAAATTCCATGTCTCAATAAAAAGAAAATACTGGATATTGGCATGTTTCTTCTTTCCTCTTTGTCACAATTCAGCAAAAAATTTTTTATCAAGTATAATGAAGTTTGTGAGGTTCCCAACATATTGGCTTGGACCCTTTGTAGATGAATTTTAGGAGAATATCAGCAAGAGTTGCACAGGATGAGAAAGGCACTGGTGGATTATCTGCTCTGTGAGAGACTACTCACATCTGATGAAAGCTCCCTGCCCCCAGGAGCTCTGGGGGTGGGTAGGAAACATGACAAAACTATAATGCATTGTGAGTGCATTAGAGGGACAAAACAAGAGGAAAATTTTGAGTGTGTGTGTGATCACTGACTTGGTAGAGAAGGCTGCACAGAAAAGGTGGAGTTAGAAATGCACTGAGAAGGCAGAGGGTGGCGGCAAAAGGGATGCAGAGGATAGGGCACGTGGGAAAGGTACTGTGAAGGAAGACTTAAGAGGACTTGGAAACTGAATGGATGTGAAAAGTGAGAAAACATGGTGGTGTTACTGAGAGAAATAGTGAAATTAGGAAGAGAAGCAGACTCAGGAATGTGGGGAGGGAAAGGTGGATGTGTTCTGACCTCAGATGTCAGGAGCAGAGGAGACAGGGATGAGACTGGTCTGTGTAGATCTAGGTGCAAAGGGGAGACTGGATAGAGGGGCTAACCCATGAAGAAATGCTGCATCAAGGGAAGAAGAGAAGGGGCAGAATCTAACAAGATCACTTTAAATCTTGAGAAGTCCTCCACGGCTTTGGGTGGGGACAATTCATATAAAGAAGATGTCAGAGTACAAAGCAGTTCTTAAAACTGCCTGGGGTCCTAGGAATAGAGAAACAGAGGATACACCAGACACACATAAAGATGAGTGTTGGACCAGCCTATAGAAAACAAAAGCTTGGGGAAAGAAGACAAGGACTCAGTGGAAAAACTGGTTGGCAGTTTGATGGAAAAGGGAATTAAACTCACATCTTACACCACATACTTCAGTGAATTCCAGATAGATGAAATGTTTAAACATAACCCCTTCAAAAATATGGAAGAAAATAAAACATTTTCTTAGTTGTGAAGGGGAGATAGAGTTTTTTTTTTTAATTCAACAAATAATTACTAAGGACAAGATAGATGTACTTGACTGAAAAAAATTTCAAAAAAAAAACATTGGGAAAATTTTATGGTAAATACAACAAAAACTTGACACTTAAAATGTAAGTAACTTAAAAACCCAGAGTGGTCATTCCCAGTCTACAATAGATAAGTGGTTAAAGGACATAAATGGCAATTTTGAAGAGGACAAATTAGTAGTCCCCTGAAAAAATACTCAGCCTCATGAACTGGAAGAGTCAAATAAAAACTTTGAGGCACTACACCCCCATCAAATGGGCAAAAATCAAAAGCAATGAAACCCAATGCCAGTAGGGTTGTAGAAGAACATTGCTTGGTAGACTTGCAAACTCATAGAATCATTTTGAAGGGCCACCTGGCAATACAGAGCAAAATATTTAAATAGTTTTACACTAATTATAGGTATGTATATATCTTATGTGAGATACATAGTTATATATATGCATGTGTGTGAATATATATATATATATATATATAAAACTACATGTAGTTATATATACATGTAATTCTATAATATACTTATGTAAAACTAGGCATAGCCTTTGACCCAGTAATTCCATTGTTGGGAATATTCTTCGAAAGTCTTATTAAAAACAAAGAAAAAAAGCTATCAATTCAAAGAATTTCATAACATCATAATATGAAATTGCAAAAAAGCCCAAAACAAGGTAGTAGTTAAATTGTGGCATATTAATGTAACAATATTATAATGGAATTCAAACTGACAAGTATAAAGAATACAAGGAAAACTGAAAACACCTTTATGAAATAAGGCAAAGAGAAGAAAAAACAACCAGAAGAATGATGTTTCATGCTATGACCATATAAGGCCAAGGGAATGAGAATGAATGGATAGAGTCCTAATGGGGCTGGCATCACTAGGTAGCAAGCACAGTATTTGAATGACCTGAGTTTGAATCTTGCTTCAGACACTTAACTTCCTGTATCACTCTGTGCCAGTTACTTAATCTTTCCTCATCTGTAAAAATGGAGTTAGGCCTGCTTCTAAGGTCTCTTCTAACTGTAAACCTATCAGCTTATGACTCAGTTTTGTTCTGAAATGTGATGTTAAACTCTGCCCTGGTCAGATGACATCTGGAGTATTGTGTTTCATTCTGGGCTGTCTATTTTACTAAGTTACACTGACACACAGGAACCTAAGCTATAGGAGCTGCTGAAATAAGGGAACGATTTAGCTTGGAGAAGACCCAAAGATGCCCTTCAAACATCAGAAAGAATGTCTTATGGAGAAAGGATTGGATTTACTGCTTGAGGTCAGATTAGAAAAGTGACTGCTCACCCTCCTAGAGCTAGGAACGGCTAAAATTTGAACTTAGGTTTGGTAAGAACCTAAAGTTGCCTTCTGACTTGGAAGCTGATGTGTTTTCTACTACCCCACACTGATTCTCAATTAGGAAAACAGTGAATAATTAACTAAAAACCTAGTGCATTTACTGTGCAGTAAGAATTACTTTAAGATCTCATTAAATGACCATGTATTAAGCACCACAAGAAGAAGCATGCCCTAATGGATAAAGAACAGGCTGTAGACTTGGGAGAATCTATGTCCTGCC